TATTAAAATCGTTCTTTTACCTTCCCACCCCCCAAGGAAGACATATTTATAATCTACTATATAAAAAGTCTACCTAAGAAATAACATTTTCATTGCTACTCAGAAACACACAGCACTAATTATTAATCACTAGTGCTCCAAGCTCAACAATGCATAAGATTTATGTTTTTATTTACAGTACAATTCACATCTTGTTTTCAAAGACTGTGAGCATTTCAGTCCTTCTACTTTATGTCCCTAATCCTACAATTGATTCTGCATAGGTAGATCCCTGAGACTGCACAGAGACCCACTAACTTGATATGTACACAGCCTAGTATAATGGGGCCATAATCCTGTTTATATGTGATGCTGATAAACAGCAGGGGCCAGAAATCAGCCCCAGGTCTCTAATATGATTGATGTCTCCTCCAGTAGTGATGCTATTGTTTTGAATGAGTGGGCCAAACATAGGTACTTAGATATGTTGCCGCTAATCAACAGACCACACTCCCCTCCAGAGCTACGACTAGAACCCAAGATTCTTGATTCCTAATATTTCTCTGCCATCTGGCAAATAATTGTGTAACCCAGTGGTTCTCAACCAGGGGCCTGGGGTCCCCAGAGGAGCCGCGAGCAGGTTTCAGGCATGGCCAGCATTAGTCTGGCTAGGGCCCAGGGCAGAAAGCCAAAGTGCTGCCACATGGGACTGCAGCCTGGGGCATCAAGCCCCACCACCTGGGACTGAAGCCAAAGCCTGAGCAACTTAGCTTCATGGTACCCCCTGTGGTATGGGATCCCAGGCAACTGTCCTGCTTGCTATCCCCCAACGCTGGTCCCGGCTTTTATATTCAGAAAAACAATTGTTTTGCCATAGCTGGGCCATGGAGTTTTAATAACATGGTGAGGCGACCTCAGAAAGAAAAAGAACCCCAATGTAACCCACTCAGTGCTGGCTCCAGGCATCAACGCAGCAAACAGGTGCTTGGGGCAGCCAACAGAGAGGGGCAGCCAACAGAGAGGGGCAGCCCGTCCGGCTCTTCAGTGGCAATCCGGCGGCGGGTCCCTCAGTCTCTCTCAGAGGGAAGGACCTGCCGCCAAATTGCCATCGAAGAATGAAGCGGCGGCAGTAGAGCTGCCACCGAAGTGCCACCTGTGGCAGAAATGCTGGAGCCGGGCCCTGAACCCACTAGCAAAGTACGAGTCACATCCCCATCCCGTGGCTGGTCCATATCGAGTATAACAGCTTACTTCTGCTGCCAGTTACTCTTTGAGCTCAAGTAATAAAGATCTGTGCTGTGGCTCCAAAGGCCTTGGGTTCCAACTCTGCTGCTAACCAGCTGCCAGAGGCTCCATGTTTCTTCCTTCTATATTTCTTCCTTCTAATTTTTGCAAAAATCAATAGGGCTGTGCCCACTGATGACCAGTACTTAACCTGAAATTTTGGAATTAATCAAATCTGGCATTCAAAAGTTATCCCATTACATCAAGATGTTGAAATACCATCAAGTTGAACATAAGGTCTTGCAAGCTCAGGCAATAATCTGTATGCACAAAAGAGATGAAATACGGTTACACAGGCAACATTAACTCTGACATTTCCTGATTTTTGAGGGCTTGATTTTGCAACCTTAATGTTCTTTTAATATAGCTCTTTGTATGAAATACATATACTACTACTAAGTAAATAATAATAGCCATTCAGAAAAAACATTTGAAAGTGTTATAGTAAAAGAAAATCTGACTGGCAGATACCCTATTTGAAAGAGGTCAGATTTGTTTTATTTTGTTTGTTTGTTTGTTTGTAAAACTAAAGACCACTTGTATTGTTTTCATACACTATTTTTAAATCCAATGGAAACCATTTATTTAAAAACAAACAAACATTCCTCTGCTGTATTTGCAATATAAGCAATACAGCATTATGCTGAAATATACGAACCTGGAAGAGACATTGATTCAAAAATGACCATAAACACATTTGAAACTGACTGTTTCCATTGTCCAAACTGAAAAATGCACAAAGTAAACAGCATAGAGTGTGGAAAGTAAATTAGATTTTTAAAGTTCTTTTGGCTTTAATGTATCTCAGGTGCTCTTTGTAAGACAGGCAGGGAAATTAATTTCTTTAAAAAAAGATTTTTAATATGACAGTGTTCTTTCTAAAGTTAATGACATGCAAATTATTATGCATATATTTACATTTTTATTAGGATAAGATTGATAAGCTAGAGAAAAGAGCAACAATCACAGTACACTTTTTAGCACTGAAGTTTCAGGTCTGATAGAGATTTGAACAACCTAATGTGGGAAACCTGCAAAAGGCAGAAATAAATACTGAAGGCCACTCACCGCTCCTATCCTTGTCAAAGATTCAATACTAGCTAGGTTGCAAATGTTATTAGTTTTTGTAAAAACTGTAGTTTGATAGGAAATGCACATAAATTACACTGTAGCTCTGACTAAGGAGCTCCATTTACAGGAGGAAAAGACTTGTGAAACACTCATCATCAGACACTCCAGTGTCATTCTGTCCCATCCACAAAAACAATGAAAAGCAAAATCTGCCATTGAAACTGAAGCAGGAAACTTGATATGGCACCATCACATTGCAACGACTTACATAATTCACTTGCCCCTCTTTGGAATGCTCTTCACCTGTCTGCAAAGGTGACATAACTTCCTCCTCCCACCTCTACCCCTTGCAACTCCTTTGTGCAAAGAAACAACTGCCATGAACACACCTTACCTGGGATACATCTTAAATCCTCAGGGTAGTAGTTCAGGGGAGTCAGTGCAAGGAGGCAAAAAGGTATTTATGAAAAGCAAACTGCTCAGGGAGTACACTGTGACCTCCAGTTGCACAGCGAGAGAGAGCAATGAGCCTGAGCCAGGATCTCAGCCAGCCAGCCCAGACTCCGCCCCCGACTAAGCTCACACAGCACAGCCAAGTAAAAGACAGGAGGGAGATGGAGGGATGAAGCCAAGAGAGGAGTGGAACTATTTCTGAAGTGGGAGCAGGGAGGATGTCGCCTATGGGGGAGTGAGAGGTGGATAATGCCTCTGGGGAAGGAGGAGACAAGGGGAGGAAACAGAAGGGTTTAGGGGCATAAGATGAAGGGAGAGAGAAAAAGAAAGGATAATGCTGGAGGAACAAAGACAGAAGTTGGGACTGAGGGAGAGAAGATGGGAAAACCTCTACCTAGAGCAGGGGTGGGCAAACTACAGACCGCAGGCCGGATCCGGCCCATGAGCCATTTAAGATGGCCCGTGAGCTCCCGCTGGGGAGCAGGGTCTAGGGCTTGCCCACTCTGGCTCTCCAGCTCAATCCATGTTGTAATTCCTCCTTTCCTCTCATTCTCTATATATTTTTCTCCCATTCATTTCACTTCTGTCTTCTCACCTCCTCAGTCACTTGTAAAGAAGATGTGGCTCATTAATATATTCCTCTCCACCTTGCACACACTCCTGTCCCCAAAGCTCTACCAGACCCACTTGACACAAATTCCCACATAGCTCTTGAACCCAGATCTCTACCACACTCTGACTTCACCTACCCCCCGTACTGCTCAGTCCATAAGTTTTCCCAGCCTGCACTCTTCACTGTTCTTGAACTTCGCAAGCCCTCAAAATGTGTCTTCCACCATCCCCTTCAGCTCACAATCCCTAAATTTTACCTAATACTGTCCATGTCCCACAAACACACACAAATATGTCACCAGCTCTCCTCTTATTTGCAACAGAGGGTAGGAATGTGTTTCCAAGGCAAATTCCAGCATCTTCCCCTGCTAGCCAAATTCCTGATCTCATTCTGGATCCCTAGACTGTTGGGCCGAATTCTGCTCTCACTTACCACTCATCTAGGTAGTCTAACTAAGTAACTCCATTAAATTCAAGAGTTACTCAGGACTGACAACTGTGTAAATAAGAGTGGAATTTGGCCCTGCTTCCATTTTTTTTCTCTCAAGAACAAAAACCCAGCTGCAAGCTTATTTTTCTAATGTTACTGCCCAATGAATGACTGACTTTGAAGCTCCCACGACCTAGCCTTAGTTTGTCACAGTAGTTGCATAACTCTTTCTCGGTGCAATGTGCAACAGCTGGGCTGCAAAGGTCAGTTTCACTGTCCACTTAAACCGGCGCCACCTGGCGTTGCATTGTCCCAGCGCAAAAACTGCACATTCAGTGCTGCTCCTCTCCGCATCAGGGCATTTCACGAGTCCCTCTCTCAGACTCATTCCGGTTTATAATTCTACTACATTTAATCTTCAGTGGGGCGGGTAATCATCAAATGCAGACACTGATACAGAAGTAGGAGAGTTGGTTAGATCTCTGACAAATCAGATCAGTGTCTTCAGCCCTGCATAGCATGGCTAGGCAGGAGTTCCAGGTGCTGCTTACATTGAAGGGGTTCCAGATGACGTTTATATACGTCTGTGCAGTTATGCTGGTAAGGCAGAGAAGTGCTGTGGCACCTGATACCCACTCCCCTTTTGTGCAAACATCCTGCTTCAATAGCCCTTACAAAGCGGATGATTTTCGGCGAAAGAGGGGTGTGAAAAAAATCGGCGAAAGAGGGGTGTGAAAGCTTTTGCCCCCTTTACCTGCAGGCTGTAGCAATGACTAGTAGAGCTTCTGCACACCACGCAGGTTGAACAGATTTAGAGCCGGGAATTAATACCCGCTATCATGAATTAATTCATTTATACATTTTACAAAGGCAAGAGCCACACCCATTTCATACTTGTGTCAGTTCCAAGGTCACTAGCTGCCGCCCATCACACGGAAACAGATCAATGGTTGACCCAAACTGTGTGAAGCAATTCATCGCACAGACGCTTATAGTAAAGAAAGAGCCGTGCCGCTTGAAGTTTCACGGCGGGCAAGCGGCTGCGCAAATACAAGGCACAGGAGCTAGAGGGCTTTGGTTCCCCTTCCAGCCCCCAGCGGTGTTTGCTCTGCCCTGGGGAAAGAGACCCCAGCCCGCCTTTCCCTACTGCCCGGGGGAAGCACGCACTTACCTGTTGTCGGCACGCCCCGGCGCCGCTCACCACCCCCGCGGGCTGGTGGGTTTGCTCCCTTCTCCGCGGCGTTTGTAATCCGGCATGTTGGTAACTGAGGAGACGCTAAAGTTGTGGGGGGAAAGGAAGGCGTGACTCCGGCTGGCGAAGCGCTTCCCAACTTCCAGGGAGCATCTGGCGGCGGGCAGCGGGACTGGACGCTGCACACACACACACACACACACACACACACACACACACA